GCTCTGGGGGCTGAGTGACCTTTAGGAGGTTCCCTGAGACCTCCTCATACCCCCACTTTGGTATTCTTTTTAAAAGCATGACTTCCTTGGGCTCTGACCTCTTTATTCTGCTGAACGTACTCTTGTCAGAGCTGCTAGCGACTGCGGCATTACTGAATCCAGTGGCGAGGCCTCAGCTCTTGTTTTACTTCGCCTGTCAGCAGCTTGTGAGAGAGCTCACAGCTTGATGTACATCTTCCATGAAGACCACCCTCCTCTTCCTTCCTGCCTCACAGGTCATACCTGGTCTCCTTCTGTGGCTCTTCCTCTTGTCTCCAGCCCAGTTGGCTGGTGTTTGTTGCAGTGCCCCTGGCCTCGGTCTCTGACTCTGTCTACATTTACTCCCTCGGTGACTGGCTTTGGGCTCATGGATTGAAATAGAGTACCACCCTGTCTTACTGTAGTTTACATTCCCAGCTCCAACTTCTAAGCTTCTAAGCTCCAGACTTGTGCGTCAGCCACCTACTTCATGTTTCTACATGGACAGCTTCACGCAGTGCATCCAGAGCCTAACTCCTGGTCTCCATTCCACAGAAATCCTGTGTCCTCCTGCTACCGGCTGCTTCATTTCAGCGGTTAGCCGCTTCTCCTTTCAGTTGCTTGTATCTAAAACTCTTGATTAAGTTGGTTTCTTTTTTTCTTTATTTTTATTCAGTCCATCGAGAAGATCCCCTTGGCACTATTTTTAAAGAAGCTTGAGTATCTGACCCCTTCTTACACCTCCAGTGCTATTCCATGGTCCTAGGACCCTTAATCTTTTATTTACTTGGTACAGGTTCTCACTATGCAGTTCAGACTGGTAGTAATCCTCCTGTGTCAGCCTCCCCAGCGCTGGGATTACAGGTGTGCACTACTTACCATGCCCAGTCTCGGTAGCAGGCATGGTGGCATGGCCTACAGTACCTGGGATTGAACCCAAGTCCTTGTACTTGCCAGGGAGGCACTTAGGCCACAGAGCTTTCTCCCCAGCCCCCTGGTTCCCTCTTACTTGACCTTCTCTATGCTGACTCCTTCCTTGCTCACCGGGCTCAGCCATACGGGACTCACTGCTGCTCTGAGAAATGGCCTCGTGCCCTGTCAGCGCCCTCCAGCAGAGTAGAACTTTCTTTCCCCAAAGACCATGTGGCCTGCTCCCCCATGCCCTTCTCCAGGCATTTAGTAGGGTGCCACCTTCTCGCTGAGGCCCCTGACCTGCACTTCACCTACAGCCTGTGCTTCATCTTCCTTCTCTGTTCTTGGCCGCTTCTACCCTGCTCACCCCCAGCGCCTTTGACTTCAATCCCAGTTCTCGTGTTGTGCCGCTCTTTGCTCAGGTCTTGTTTTCTGACCATCTCCAGAGCAAACACCAGTGCCAGGGATGGTTTAGTCTGTTATTTCACCTAGAACGGCGCCAGCCTCAGACTAGCCATTCACGCAAACTTTCATTGAATGTGGCTGAGTGAATGGCTTCCCACTGATAGTAGGGTGCGTGTATCTTTCACGTGGCTGTGGCCCTAAAGGCCCACACGAGGTTGGCTTCTGACTTCTCTCCTGCTGCTTTTCCTCTTCTATGTCCTACCAGCTCTTTCAGCCTTTGTGAGTTCATTCTGCCTCCTACATCCTTTTCCATCACAGGACGGAGTATTCCCTCTCATCAGTATCTGTTCCTCTTTTACTTTTAAATTCATTGCCTGGTAATTCCTTGTTACTCTACTTGGTCAAGTTCCAATGTTATGTCTTTGAGAAAGCTTCTCCTCATCCTCCTCCCCACCCAGCATTATGTGCTTTTGTGCCCTTGATCCTCTGCCTCCGGGGTCTAGAATGTAAGTTCCAAGGGGACAGAACTTAGTTACCAAAATTTTATTTACTGCAGAAACTTCAGCAGTGAATCTCATACGTAATAGGTGTTCAGTAAATCTTCATTGAATGGTAGCACTGATTTACTGCATACCAATGGTTCTGTGGGGTGTAATTTAAAAATGTTAGCCCAGTTTTTCAGATGAACAAATTAAAAGAGGTAGACAGGTTCACTGATTTGACCACAGGATGCACAACAGTCTGTAATTACAGACATAATTAGCCGATGCTCATTTCTTGTTGAGGCCGAATGCGCTCTTTGTGGCAGGGCTGTGATAGGCGTCATGGAGTGAACTCAGTTGTGATTGTCAGAGCATGTGTGGAGGACGGCTGTAATGTGATCTCATCCAGCTGTCAGGACAGTGTGACACTTGTAACACATATCTGTCATCTGAGTTAATGAAAACCATGTTTAAAACTCCACTGGGGCCCGGGAGATAGCTCAGTAGAATAAGCACTTGCCTGGCAGGTGCAAGGGCCTGAATTCAATCCCTGGTTACACACACACACACACACACACACACACACACACACACTCACTCACACACACACACAAAAAAAACTTACAAAGCTCCCCTGAGATTTTATTAAGTAAGTGTGTCTTAAAATATTCCAAAGAACCAAGAGCCTAACTCCTTAAAAATACGCAATTTGTGTCAAGCAGATAACAGATTATCATTCTACAGAAACCCACGTATTTTAGAAAAAAGACAAAATTTTTTACATATTTCATGTATGTGATGGACATTTTTTGATTAACAGAAGTTCCACATTCAGTATTACTTGGAATAATTGTAAATATAATGTAGACATGAAGAGTCAGTTTAAATATAGTAAGTCCCTGGAAACCATTTCTGTCGAGTTTACTTAGCATTACTGACATGCAGGATCTGTCAGATGTTAGTAAAGTCCTTTTTTCTCTGTCAGCTCATCATGGTATCATATCATTGTACTTCTTTTAACCTTAGAAGTGAAACCTTTTGGAACCTGGGCTTCTATATATGAGCAAACCGAATGACAGAGCTCTCCCTTTTTTTGAGGAAAAGGATCCTTCATTTCAAAAAACACTCATTGAAAAATGCCCTATTGTGTAGCTCTTTGTGTTTGAAAGGAACAATACTGACTCGGTGAGATTGCTGGCGTAAATTAGAGCCCTTCTCTAGAGCTCAGCGTCATTTAGCCTAGTGACCTCACGGCTGTCTTCCTGGAGCCACCACAGGACAGGAAAACACTGCAGAACCCATCAGCGCAAGGTGCAAGAGAGATGTATTGACAATGGCTTGTTTAAGTTGAACTCATTTGGGTGTCTCACTTGTTCCTGTAGATCAGAACTCTCCTTGCGCCACTGGCTGTCCCCATAAATATCACAAATTCAGATTTCCAGAGAATTTTCTAGGGCCTGTGCCAATTATATCCATATTTGTATTACATTCCCTACTTTACAGTTGGCTCTCTGGACCAATTTGTAAGTGTAGTATTTTAACATAAAAATTGCCCCATGTGTTTGATTAAAATATTATTATTAAACATGTTTGATATTTGTACTTAGAAATTTAAGTTTGAGAAAGAACATAGGGACTGTTTGGGTTGTTCAGGAATGTCATCAAACAGTTTGCCATAGGAATTGTAAACCAGGAGGTCTTTATATATACACTACAAAAATATAATGTTACTTAAAAATACTTAGGGCTGGTGAGATAGTTCAGTGGTCTAAAGCACCTGCTTAGGCAAGCACACAGGGACAACAGTTCAAGCCCTGGCACCACATGCCGTACCAGCTCCACCACCTGGGCGGGCTGAGCTGTCCACAAAGACTGGGTATGGTGGCACACACCTGTTATCCCAGTGCTGAGGAGGCTGAAAACAGGAGGAACACTGTGAGCCCAAGTTGCTGGAGTTCGGTTTTGTAACTGTCTCATTGCTGTCTGTTTCTCAATTCGATTAACAAAAAAAAAAAAAAAAAATCTTAAAAATGTTATGTAGAATAACTTAGAATAGATACAGAATGGCATTTTAGACTCCATGCTTTCCTTGAAGTGTTTTATCCACATGTTGGTCTGTACTGTTGACTTACATACAAGCTCACAGACAGAATGGAGGTGTCTTTACCAAGCATCATAATAAAAAGTTCCTAATTGCATGCTGTAAGAGCTGTGATACTGAATGTGTGTTGAGAGCTTCATGATTGGGAAGTGAAGTGAAAGTTCAAAGCCTAAGAAGAAAGACATTATGCGAATGGACCTGGATAGCTAATATAAAATCAATTGACTTTTTTTTAAAAAGCAATTGTAGACTTTAGCTATCAAAAGTTTCATAAGAGCTGGTATACACTTGCAAGCCTAACGCTTTAGGAGGCTGAGGCAGGAGATCCCAAGTGAGAGCCTAGCCTGAAATCTACGGCAAAAGCAACTTTTTGTCATAAAACAAAAAGTTAAAAGCATCTATGGTAGAGGTCCCATGAAGGCTTTGGGTTCAGTTCCCACTATCACTGAAAAAGAAACAGTGTGGGGATAGTTTCTAATCTAGATGACACTAGTAATAGGGAATAAAAGCTATCAGTTCTTTCTTGACATTAAAATATATTAAGTTAACAAAGGTATTGTAAATGAAAATATATTCATCTGTCTTAGTGTGGACACATTTAAAACCATATAAAATAGACACAGCTCATCAGACCTTGAGTTGTCATTGTCATAATTAGAGTTGTTTGTCTTGATCTGTTTTTTATTAAGTTGTTTAATATAGTTAAAAAGTCAACTAATCAAAATAATTGCCACATGTTTTTATGGCTGCCTTGATGGAAATCTATAGTTCAATTTCATATAGCTTTTTTGAGTGCAGGCTATACATATGTTCTCTTGCATCCTAATAAAAATAGTAAATGAAAAATTATTATTGTTTAAGTTTCATAAAAATTGCACCAAGGCCACAGAAGTCACTTCAAAAGGTAACGTTTTTTGTTAGGGTTTGATTTGGTTTTTCATATATAGTGATATTGCAGGTCTGTATGTTTCTGAAAAGCCAGAAGCTTCAGCTTGTTGATGGTGTGTGATTATATTTGTTTATATCCACATATAAATAGTTTGAACTTTTGAATTAATATGTATTTTCCCCTCTTGTTCTAGTTGGGCTGATCCAGAGGTTTCTTGTTCTTCAGATTTACATACCCCTGGGACAGGACTTCTCTGCTGAATTGCTGTAAGATATATAGAACCCCTTTGAATGTTTTATGTGTAGTAGACATTTGATCAATTGAAGCGGTTCCCCTAGTCATTAATTGCCAGTGGCAGCTTTTGCATTAAATAGTAGCGACTTATCAAATCGACACGAAGTAATTAAACTAATTTAACTGTGTGTCTTCGATATCACTATGCTCTAGCATTTCTCTGGGGAAAGAAAGTAAATTTCATCCATTTAAGGAGACATCAGAGAAATTTTATTTTGACAGTAGTTGGCCAATAACTTAAGAGAAGCACATGGTCCAAAAATGTAGGATTTGGGTTCAGGTGGAGGGTGATGTCGTATCTTGTACTGTTTGTGTTCAAAACTGTAGTTAGATTAGAACTGATTGAAATGCTGATTTCTATAGTTTAGATATACAGTATTGGTGCTTCGCATGTATGTGTAGACCATTTGTAATACGGTTTTTTGAATGGTCTCGTTAGATTGTTTAGCAAAAATGAAAATACACATTTTTACTTAGCTACTGTATGAAATGATACTGTTAATGAAAATAACACTTGATTTGTAGATTTACACAGAACTAAACTGAGTATTGTTTAAGATTTCATTAGTGAATTTGTACTTTAAACTGTTACATTTAAATTATGCTGCTTTCCAATTTTTTTATAATTAGTAGTTATACTAGGTTATGTGTATTTTTTGGTAGAATAAATGACCTTATCAATGAAGATAATTTTATACTAGTTTTATTGGTACCAACTAAAAGTGAGAAAAGAGCATAATTAAATCAGACTATTATAAGTTTGATGAGCATTTCTCTTTTATTATGTCAGTGTAGTTAGTAATGATTTGCTGGTATGCTGCTAAAGAATGGACTTTTAATAAGTTGCCATTTGTTGTCTTGGGTAGTAAAGATTAGATGGAAAGTTTTCTTACTTTTGTTCAACTTTAAACTTCTTTAAGTTTCTAAGATCTTTCATTGTCTGCTGTGGTCACCAAGCTTCTTTAAAATAGTTCTTAGAGTAAGAAGACCGAAGCATTATTTGATGTTCTTATGAGGCTCTTTCTGATTCTGCAGGAAATGCATTTTCAAGGCTCCAAAGATGTTCTAAAGGTACAGAGAGTGCCACAGAAAGCTTTATTTTCATTGCAGGGGAAAGTGGTTTCTGAAATGGAAGAAGGCAGATTGTACAGTAGGCTTTTAAAGCTCCTCACAGAGCATCCAGGTTATCTCCTTTTATTCGGCAGACCTCTCTGCCGCCTGCATTTTGAGCTGCTTTGGCAGCAGTGATGGAGAGCAGGAAGTTGGCCTTTGGGTCAGAGCTGCTCGGGATGTCTTGCTGAGCCTCGGAGCGGACTCTTCACCAGTGAGACTTCTCCTTCCGTTCCAGGTGAAGCTCTCCAGGTGCTCCCAGACACTTCAACTGATAACCCTGGCCCAGCCAGTATCCTGTTTTAAGGAACAGCAATTAGAGCTTTAACGACCGAGAAGTTATCAAGTATCTTAGTTTAATTTAATGGTAGCAAACGGGCAGCTGATACCTGAGTAAGCTTGACTGTCTCAGTTTTACCCCATTAATTGGCCTGCGTAAAGGTGGAAAAATATCCCAAGAAGTGTTGGCATTAATAGTTAGCTTTTGGATTCGGTTCACTGTGACTGATTCCCGTGTTCTTATATCAACACAGGCAAACATTTGTATTTTCCATATGGTTTTCATATTATAGTTTTAGCAGAAGAAGTAACGTGGACAAAGGTTAAATTATTAAGTGACATGATGAAGGCACTGTGTTGTGACCTTGTGAATTTTTGTTTATAAAAGCTATATTGACTGTGAATTTGTTGCTAATAGGTAATTACTTGTTTTAGGTATGACAGTGACCATGGTTTCACTAGAGGGATCGATAAGTATAGTCTCTTCGCAAACATAGCTTTCTTTTATGCCTTAAATGCAAGGGCTTGCTTTCAACACCCTTAGTGTTTTGCTGTTCTTCTAGCAGCATAGCTCCAGGCTATTTGAAATAATATGTTTCTCTAACAAGCTTGGAAAGGCCCAGAGTAGAAAGATACCTGGCTTCTAAAATTTTCCATTGTCAGAATGGGAGAGGCATTTTGTTTCGCAAAGGTGCCTTTTATACATCAAGAGGTTTTCCAAAGTGGTGTTTTGCCAGCTGGTTTATGGCTCTCGTAATTACTTTCTCAGCATCTTCCTGTGTCTCCCATGCCTCTGGGCTGTTGTGCTGCTCAGGAAGCCTTTATGCACGTGGGATAGTGATCACCTTAGACCAGCAAAAGCACTGCTTGAGGCATCAGTCATTCATTCAGTGAACAAATTACTGAGTTCCTGTTGTTTCTTTTGTACAAATCTCCCTACCCTCACTGCTGCCTTTGTAGTCCCAAGCCACTGTCACATTTCCTGATAGCTGTTCCAGCTTGCCACTGGACTTCCCAGCTGTCTCTTTTCCCAGGGTGATATCTCCACCCAAGCTAGGGTGATCTTTGTAAAATAAACAGCTGGAATTCTCACTGAGCTCACAAGCTCACAGAGCCTCACGCTCCTGTGTCCCCTAATCTCTCTGCTTTTCCTTCTCTTCTCTACCTCTCCATCCTGAGCTCATGTTTGCCAGCTGCACCAGCAATTCCTGGCCCTGTAGCTTTTTTCCTTAGAGTCCTGTGTGCACAGGTGGTTTCTGTCTCCCATCTGTTTGCCCAACTGACTTCTCCTCTGCAGGGTCCCTGCTCTCAAAAGGCCCTTTTTCACACCCCGCCCCACGCCATGATCATTGCTTAGGCATTTCCTAGCACCCTGTTCCTTTCCTTTCCTGCCAGCATAAAAGTTTGCAAATGATCTGTTTCTTGCTCCTGTGTCTTTTCTGGTAGGCTGAGCCCCATGAGGACAGAGACCCTGTCTGTGGGACTCAGCATGCTATCCCAGCATGCAGTGCACTTGATGTATCACAGCCTCCGAAATGTAGATGGATGGACATTGTTGGGCTGAGGAATGGCAGGAGACATTCCTGTCATCATATCGTTCATCGTAAAGATGAAAGATCAATTTACATTTTGATAAATGTTATAATCTAAGAGTGAGCTCTGCGGGGACTGTGTGAAGTGTTAGGTACAAGAGTGTGGATGGATCTGCACTCCGATTTGGCTTTACTTCTGTGGGCTTTGAGTAGATCGCTCAGCTTGCTTCCCCTATAGGATGGCAGGGGCATATCTCACAGGTAGGTGAGCAGCCCTAAGTGAGAAAATTAACATGAAACAACTAACGTTTATTAAGCACTTGTGATATAGCTACGACATATTAGATGATCCCAAATACTTTATTTTAGCTCAATCCTCAGAATAAGGATTGCCTACTGGTCATAATTATTACCTCTACTTTTATTACCAAGGAAGCTGAGTTCAGGAATTTGCCAGAGTTTATAAATGTAATACCACTTAGAGTTAGGGTTGAAATATATTGTCTAAATTTAAAACTTATGCTCTGTCCCACCATGCCATGCTGCCTTACTTGTAGATATTATTTTTCTGTCTAGCTATACATGCACACACATGCTGTAAATATATAGTAAGCATTTCATTTCCATTATAGTACAAGATGAAAGCGCTAAGCCTTCTCTGTCTTCTTCCAGGGTGCCTCATAATACACTTTTATTACTAGAGTTTCAGGAAGGAAAGTGTTTCATGTTGCTGTTTTACTGTCCTTATTCTTTGGAGAGAGAAATGCCTGAAATTAAAAAAGAATTCAGCCAAATCTCTTCTTTTAGTATACTTTGGATCTTAAATGTGCTAATATTCATATTAGAATTTTTAAATGAAAACTAAGAAACAACTTCACCTCTTTATTGATTCTTCACTTTGATCTCTGTGTGGACCCTTCTTCTTTAGCATCTAAAAACAATATTATTCAGCATCCTGCATTTGCGGGTGGCTAGATGACCTCAGAACTGCCTGAGCTGACCCCCGTTAGCCGCACATGCTGCCTTTTGCATGTGAAGCCAGAAGTGCTGAGTGTAGTAACGTGTGTAAAGGTAAAAGAATCCTGTGCCTTTCAATGTTAGGCTTCCAATCCACAGTTATTGTGTGATGTTAATTGAAGTTTTCTTTTCCAGAGTGTTTTAGTTTAGCTGTGTCTAGTTGACTTCAGGGTAAATCATTGAATAAACAACAGGTTTTTCGGACTCCTTTCATTTTTCAGCTAGCTTCCAAACCATGTCCTCAAGGCAGGAGGAAGCCAGTAGGCGCCCTGTGGGTGTGCTAGGTGTCTCAGAACGTGGGGGCTGGCATCCGGTGCGCCAGAGGAGCGCCCTGAGCCTGTGTGCTTGGGAAGGAACCAGCTGTGTCTTGAGATAGAAATCCATTCTGCTATACTTGAGGCTGTCATCACACTGAATGATTTTGGAATATTGCATTTTGGGGGACAGCGATTGTATTTACTTTACAGAATACTGTTGAGGTACATTATTGGTTCCTCTATCCTAAATTCATCATTATCTTGATGAATTCTGAGAGCATTTTGTACTGTCATGCTTCCAGTGAGCTGACATTGTTTTTTCCATTTTCACTCAGCCTAGGTAGTGCTTTTTCAATCTATGGGTTGTAAACACCATAAAAGCCCATGTGGCGGACAGGATGCATTGCTTGGGGAAGTTGGGATTTGTAGCCTGTGGCTCCTAGAGAGGGTGGTGGCTAGGAAGCCTCAGGAGTTGAACCCTTAGCTCTTTGTAGTACTGCTTCTCTGTGGACTCTGATAGAAGGTTTGGGGCAAAACACTGAACTCCTTAAAAATGAGAGGCATTCCTAAAAGTATACTAGTCCTTACAAATTTACAAATTTTAACAGATCCATTGTGACCTCTGCCTTACGGTGGCTGAATTTGAAACTGTACCTGAAATTGAATTTAATGATTTAAACCTGGAATTCTGCTGAGTATTTATGATGCCCAGTCCCAAAGTTGTTATCTTTTTCCTTGTTCTGCCCATACCAAGCTACATGGCTTAGCCTGCCCACT